GTTGTTGAACCCGCAGGGCGTACTGTAGGGCCGCATGATCTGTACGGACGGTGAAACGCCGACCGTACAGATACGGGCGGTACTGCTGAATGAAATAAACAATTGCCAATAATTCCCGACGGGTAACGCAGTACCGTTGTTCGGCTGGAGACAGTACCCGACTACCGTAAGCCACCACATGCTCTACGCCCCCAATGAGCTGGGACAGCACGCCCCCGATGCCCGTGTTACTTGCATCTGTATCGAGCAAGAAGGGTTGTGAGAAATCGGGGTAATTCAACGGCGGAGCCCCCACCAGGGCATTCCGGAGGGCGCGAAAAGCAGCCTCCTCCTCCGGCCCCCAATGAAACCTGACTCCCTTGGACGTCAAGGCATGCAATGGTTTCGCGATCGTAGCGAAGTCAGCCACAAACCGTCGATAATATGACGCGAACCCAATGAAACTCCTGACCTCTCCCACCGAGGTGGGAGTCGGCCAGGAGCTGACGCATTCCGTTTTGGCGGGATCAGTGGATATCCCCGAGCGCCCAACAATGTGACCCAAATACCGCACCGATTCGCGGAGCAAATGGCACTTCTGCGGTTTAAATTTTAAATTGGCAGCCCGCATTTTGAGAAAAACAGCACGCAACCTCTGGAGGTGTTCCTCGAAGGATTTGCTAAAGACGATGACATCGTCCAAGTAAATTAAACACGAATCCCATTGCAAGCCTGCCAAGACCAGTTCCATTAACTGCTGAAAAGTTGCCGGCGCAGAATGTAAACCCATCGGCAACCGGTTAAATTGGAAGAGACCTTGCGGTGTACGAAAAGCAGTCTTAGGTTTCGATTCGTCATCCAGAGGAAGCTGCCAGAATCCAGATAGTAAATCGAGGGTGGAAAAGAATCGCGCCCCCGCCAAGGCATCGAGCGACTCATCCATTCGAGGAAGCGGGTACGCATCTGCCACAGAAATTTTGTTCAAACGCCAAAAGTCGACACAAAACCGCAGTGAGCCGTCGTGTTTTTTCACCAAAACGATCGGCGCGCCCCACGGGCTGTTGGAAGGGGAAATGATATCGGCGGCTAGCATGTCATCAACAGCCGATTTGACATGATCCTTTTCGGCGGGACTCAACCGAAAGGGATTTTGGCGGATTGGCGCGCTGTCACCCGTGTCAATATGGTGTCGCAGCAATTTAGTACAACCAATATCAAATTTGTGTTGACTAAAAACGTCAGCAAATTCGCTCAGGAGAACTCGCAGCTGCGCGCGCTGCGAGTCGGACAGGTCCACTGATCCCGCGCAAAGCGCATCCAGCCATCCGTCATCACAGTCCGAATGCGGTCGCGACAGAGGATCGGTGGTTACCTGACCCACGAGTGGTTCCTCATAGGGTACCGGCGTTGCGTGTGCAAGCACGGTCCCTTGAGGAACCACGGCCGTTCGCGATCCTACATTAAGGACTGCAATGAAGGGGTCCCCATCCCCTCTCACCATGGTCTGAGCCGCTAGCAAATCGGGTCCATTGACCCCGGCTCGAGATGGTCCCAACAAGACCCCCCGATCCGCAACCCCTTCAGCAAACGGCCGACGCAACCTAAGAGGGACGAGCATCTGAGCCCCCGGAGGTACGCGCACAGTTTTTGTCACGAGCGCCTGCACGGTGGCAAACGCCCGACGCTCCGTGGTGGGGGAAGACAAAAATGTAACACGTCGGCCCGATGGGAGCTCGATGCACCCCTGGTCAATCAGGATACGGATGGGCATTTTGGCCAAGAAATCCGTCCCCAACAGGCACGGAACCGCGAGTGAGGAGGAAACCAAAACAAGCCCGGATAATTTAATGTCTCCAATGCAAATTTTGGCGCGGATTTGCCCAATAATGCCCAGCGAGCCCCCGTTAGCAGCATAGCATGGCACGTCAACAGGGAGCAAGGGACGACTTTGAACGGGAAGGATGTTATAAATCAAATCAGATATAATGGTCGCCGATGCCCCTGTGTCAATTAAAATCCGCACCTCTACCCCATCAATGTGACCGACCACAACCGATGATCCCGCCGACGCAGCAACGACACGATGGGCGAGCTCCGACCACTGACCCGGTTGGAGCGCTCGCCGCATTTCAGAACAATCGCGCGAGACGGACGGTGATTTTCGAGCCCTGTTTAGTTGAGCGCGTGAGTGTGTGTCGGATGTGTGCATGGGCCAAACGTGTGAGGTGCCAAGACTCGCCGTATTTCTCTGCTGGAGCTTGGGAGGAGATGGCGTGGCGTCCTGACGAGGTGTCGCCCCGCGCTGACGGGGAGCCCGGCATCCTGACGCAACGTGGCCTTGCAGGCCACAGTTGTAGCAGCGTGTGAGCACCCCAGATGGCCTGGGCTGCTCCTGGCGGCTCGGTCCATTCCGAGCCTGTGGTGCCGCCGATCTCCATTCCCCTCGCCGCTCCACCCCGCAGACCTCCTCCGATGGGAGGGCGGTGGCCGCCATGGCATGACCGGCCGCCCCCTTGGCCACCTTTCGACGTAGGGACCGCAAGCCCCCGTGGATGTGGCGCGCGACCAGCAGGGACGACATCTCTGCGTCGTCTTGAGCCAAGACGTTGACGTCCAGCTCATCAGCGAGTAGCAGCAGCTTCTCAGCCACCATGGCATCCACTCCTTCCTCGTCCATCCGTGGAAAAGCAGCCTTCGCCAGGGCCAGGAGAGCCGTCCGGAAGGCCAGGGGCGATTCGTTGGCGCCCCGATGCCGATCGTGGAACAGCTGCCTGCAGTCCGAAGGCGGCCCATAGACGGCTGACAGCAGCTGCAGCGCCAGGTGCAGAGTGGCGCGCTTTTCCTTAGGCGCCGAGGTGAGGGTAGCCAGGGCGTCGTTGTCCAGCATCGCCGGCAGCGCGCGTAGAGCCTCGGCGTCCGACCAGTTCGCCATCTCTTGATGAGCGATGAACCGCCTCTTGAAGCCGCCCCAGTCTCCGTCCGCGCCCACGAATTATTTGAGAGGCGGCAGACGCTGCTGTAACGCGACGTCCGTGGCTGCAGATCGCTCTCCGTCGCTCCCAGCAGATGATACAGTGTGGGCGGGCTGCGAGCATGGCATCGCCGGTCGCTCTGATGTTGACGTGCTGGCCGGTGTTGATGATGTCACGGCTTGTGCTTGGCGCTCAGCAGTCACCTGACGCGGGCCGGCCCCGCCCTCTGCTCGCACTGTAGTGATGGCGGGAATTTTAACCGCGAGCCGCGTCGGGGTGGCGGGAAACGTTGCCCCGCGTCGGCTGCTGTCGCTGTCCCGCGCAGCCCCTCCAGCCCCCAGCCGCGTGATCTCCTCCAACGCGGCGGCCGCGGCATAGAGCAACTCCGCCAGGCGGGAGTGAGCCAGCCGGAGTCCTTCGGCCGACGCATCCCCTCCTTCCTGTTGTAGCAGCGCGGGCGTACTCGGCCCTGGCTGCTCCGATCCGACCCCGGCCATCTCTGGTGGTGATTCGGCCGTGGCGTCTTCTATCTCCGACTCCCTGGTACGTGTCGTCCCTCGTGTGTCCATCGTTGAACGTTTTACTTCTGACGCCAGATGTAGTAAGTATGTAGGAGGCTTGACGACAGGATCGGAGGCACACTTGTTTATTACACCAACTTGTGCATACACAGTAATTACGGGTCACTGGGCTACAGGGATACACAACAGCTAACCCCGCTAACCTATGCCCAAGTCCTCCACTACGGAGCTAGGGGAGGCTATCTATCCCAGCCCTGGTCAAGCTGGGATCCCGGCACCCTGAGTCTCCAGACCTGCTCGTCGGTCTGGGCTCTCGGGGCCATGCCACCGGCTTGCCCTGGTCGGCCCTTATAAGGACAGCGAGCCAGGGGAGCTCTGGGGCCTATTCTAGCAGGTCTTCTTTCTTCTCTGGTTAAAGCTGAGCTCCGACCTCGAGCCCTCCGGCTCACCACCTTTTATAGGACTCGGCCCCCGGGAGGGGCCCGTGGGGGATGCAGGTGCGGACGTCGGTGCGAGCACCTCCCCTGTGTACGGCCGTAACCCCGCCCCTTGTGTTTGTTAGCCATCCGTGGCCATGCACAATTACACCTCAACATCCGTGGCCATGCACAATTACACCTCTACACATGCAAGCTCGTCAACAACATCTCGTCACATCCACATGGTGCCAAACAGAGTTCGGTGCCACGAGGTCACGAAGCTCTCGGAGGCGCCTGTTGGAGGGACGCAGCTGGGAAGAGCGCAGCGGGCGAACCTCGGGCAGTTTGTTGAAGTTGTAATTCGCATCCAAATAGTGAGCGAACGAGGTGGACAACTGAACAGTGAAAAGTAACAAATTGATGCGCCTGCAAGTGAGGACGTGTGCGTCACCAGTGCCTGCCGTGACGTGGGTCACAAGTGAGGCCGTTAACAACAAATCGGAACCAAAGTGAGGAGTGTGCAACGCAGGACGGAGAGGTACGAACTGGGAATTGCATTCAGATAAATAGAGAGGGGCACGTGGATGAGAGGACATGCAGAGGTTAAGACAATTCAAGCTGTGAGAAAAGTTGCAGAGGTTATGGTGAGATGTAATTTGATGTTTAAAATAAAGGTGTTGAGAGGTGCCTTTCGTGTTTAGTTTGTTGTCCTTCCCCCCGCACCTCCGATTAGCGCGGTTGGCTACGTACGGTGCGTTAGAAGTTCATCCACACACGCGTACATCCACACACGCGTACATCCACACACGCGTACATCCACACGTACATCCACACACACGTACATCCACACATACATGGTCACACAGATGCTCTGGTGACAGGCGAGGGCGCGAGAGGTGTCCGGTGGGGAGAGACGACCTCGTGTGAGACGAGAGAGTTCTGTCTGAGTGAGAGATATCGCGAGAGGGGGTGGGGGGGGGTGAGGTAGGCGTGGTGGTGGTGGTGGTGATGCTGCTGCCCTTGGTCTGGCGGCGAGGCTGGGGCTCTGCTCTTCTGGGGAGAGCGAGAGGGGAGCGGCGGAGTCTGACAGCCGCAGCCGCCGCCGCCGC